CCCAGTGTATGTGGCTGGCACCTTAGCCGCTTGAGCCACAGGGGTCGAGCCCAAGGTGAGGCTCTTAAAAGGAGGAGGACAACAATAAACTCTCTGCCTTGTACAGCAGGCCCTCAGCAACTGAATCCAAGGATGATAAGGACAAGTAAAACCAGTATGAGTAACACCGTAAGGCAGGAAGTGAAAACTCTAAATGAGAGTCGACATCAGTGCTGTCCAATGTGGGAGCTACTAGCCACGTGTGGCTAGTCTGAATTGAGATGTCCCATAAATACTAATATTTAGTATTGAATAATTTTTATGTTGATTCTATGCTATGTTCATATTCTTGTATATATTGGGTTATTTATAATATTAAAATTAATTTCATCTGTTCCTTTTTTCCTTTTTAATGTGACCATTAGAAAACTTAAAATTGCGGATGAGGCTTGTGTTTTACTTCTCTTGGACTGTGCTGGTTTGATAGGAAGTGTGATACAAATTCAGAGCAGGGCAAAGTTGCTATGGATTCAGTTCATCAGCAAAGTCTTCCCTGAGAACTGTAGGATTTCCATCAGTAGATAGGTTGGGAGAGGACACTCCAGTAGAAGAGAGCCTCAGTAGTGAAGCCAGAGAGGTTAATCTGGGCAGCAGAGGAGGCTGGTTTGTGTTGCATCACAGGCTCCTGTAAGGGAGAAAAGTTTCCTGAGTAGGTGGAGACCAAACTGTACAAAACTTTGAGCGCCAAGAATTTGGACTTTTTCCTATAAGCAATGACTACTTCCCCAGAAGAAAACCAGACTCTGCCCAGTAGCTCATGGCATAGCCTGAATTCAGCATGTTTTCATGTGAACACTAAGCAATGACTCCTCCTGGAAATTGCCCAGTGGGCAGGCAGCCAGGACCAGGCCAACCTGATCAGGAAATTTAGAGTGATATAGGAAGTGGGACTTTGGGACTGATTCATTTATGTGGGGGAAAGAGGGCAAATGTAAGTACATGGTAATAAGGTCACCTGGGAGAGGAGGAGAATCGATGGGGTGTACCTAGGTGATGGCTAGTCAGGGTGAGGGTGAAACAGGCCTTGACCTTGGGCTATATGGTTCTAGTCATGTGTGTAATCAGACTGAGTGATGCTTTTGCTTTTCTTTCAATCCGTCTGCCTGGCTTTATTTTTAATTTACTGAATATTTACAGTGCTCTATGACTCAAGGAGTTAACATTAGGCTCCAAGGAGATGAGATGGAAAGACCACTGTGGTAGGAGTAGAAACACCTCTATCCCGTTTCAGTGGCTGACTCATTGTGTAACTTTGTTCCCTCTCTGGGCCTCAGTCTCTTCAAATATGAAAGAAGATTTCGAATCACATGAGACCAAGGCTTCTTCCAACCCTGTGATTCTGGAACAGACCAATGTCACAAAGGGAGAAGAACGCACCATAGCAACCAGGTGCAGAGCTCCCAGCAAGTGTAGGAGGAGGCTGGGCCGGGAAGGGCAGGCATCGGAGGCCTTACCCAGGTTTGGCCCTGACTTCTGGCTGAAGCTGCCCTCCTCTGGTGGAGCAGACCCTGCTGGAATTGGAGCACAGTGAGGTCTAGGAGTTTGGTGTTTGATCCTGGCTACCCACCCTTCTATCCCAAGGGCTGGCTCCTCAGGCCTAGTGGAATCTGAGAGGGAGACAGGAAACTGAAGACTTTACCTCTAGAGACGTTGAGTTTGCCGGGGATCTTGAATTGTCTGAAGAAACAACCGAAGAAAGTCAGTGTGTGGCCTGCCCCTCCCCTTTCTTCTGGCACCATTGGGCCACCTGCAGTGGCAGGAGTGGCTATTAGATTTAAGAGGAAGGAGGGCGCCCTGCCAGCCCAGCACTTCTAGAATAGAGAGTGGGTGGGAAGGGACCTGAGTAAAGTCCCAGAGCCTCCAACACTGACGCACAGGAAAGCCTCAAGTGGGAGGAGAAATGCAAATCCCCCATTGAGGATGGCGTCAGCGGCGTGGTCCTGGGGACAGTGAGGGGCGATTCTGGTTTTGGACTTGAGCACTGCCTGGGACCTGGGCTGAGAGCGAGCAGGTAAGTAGGGCAGACCACACTTTCGCGTGGCCTCTCCCAGGGAGGAAGTGCTTCTGCGGGACGCTGCTGAAACTTTGCTTTCTCTTGGCGTTGGGGCAGTTGCTACACTCTCACCTGTCTAAGGGGGAGTAATTAGGGAAAATGAGAGTCATGCCGTGCGCTTCCCAGACGCTCCGGAGCGCGGGTGTCCCCGCGGAGCCGCCTGGAAGGCCGGCGCCCTCCCGCGCCCTCCCGCGCCCTCCCGCGCCCGGGAGGTCTAGCGGGGTCAGGGGCTCCAGGCTGCTGCAGACGCGTCCCCAGCGAGTGCTGGGGGGGGAGCGCCTCTGCACTTTCTTAGCCAGCTTCTGCGGGGCTGTCAAGTCTGACATTGGCTTGACACAACTGGGTTTCAGAGAAAAGCCTGCTGCTCAGGCAGCCGGTGCCTGTGGCTTTGGTGGGTGCGAGAGACGTTTTAGGACGGGTCATCTCCTTTGTAAGCTACGCCGCACCACTAGCTCCCAGACCATGGGACCAAATGCTCCTTTAAAGGGCCTTCCAGGGACAGGTGTGCAACGGAAACCACCAGGCCCTGCAGTTTTCAGAAGCCATGTCCATAGTTTTCTTGAGATAGAATTAACCCTTAGCGAGGAAACACAAACACGCTGAAGGATGTCTAGAGGCGTCTCCAAAGGCTGCAACGGAGAAGAACGTCCTGCCTCTCCCTATACACGCCTTACTCGGCCCTTTCCGCCTAAATTCGGGTCTCTGAAAGGCAGATTCAGGTCTTAGTAGTGATCTTTTCACGCAGTGTTTATTTTCATAAATAACACTTTTTCACTTTGTCTTCTCTTTTTTTCTTTTTCTTTTCTTGGATGCATAATAATTGGACATGTTTATGGGATACAGAGTGATATTTTGATACAAGTATACAATTTGTAATGATCAAATCAGGGTAATTAGGATTCCATCAACTGGAACACTTGTCATTTCTCTCTGTTGAGAATATTCAAAATCCTCTCACTGACCTTTTTGAAAATACACACTAAATTATTCTTAACCGTATTTCACCCTACAGGACTACAGAAGCCCAGGGCTTATTCCTTCCATCCGTTATCTGTAAACCAACCACACCCTACTCTCCCACCCTTCCCAGCCTCTGCTAACCACAGTGCTACTCTCTACTCTTATGAGCTGTTGTTGTGTTGGTTTTTTTAGTTTCTAGTGAGTGAAAACATGCAGTATTTATTTTTATGTGTCCAACCTTATTTCACTTGCCATAATGTCAGGACTGATTTAATTTTAAGGTAGGTGAGTTCTTAAGTACGTAACAGACTTTCACCCAAATCATGCCAGGATTTAACAACAGTAATGATTAAAATTATAATGCTATTTTGAGCTTGCGTTCTCTGTTGTCTAGTTAGAAGAACTGATGGAGATATATAGCAAGACACTGTTGACAGTAGCATGGAAACAAACGTTCCATTTTGTGTATAATAGATCCACACCCAATCTGTGGAAAGACACATGGGTCTGGCTCAGGCGACCTCAGGTTGCCCTGAGGAGCTGCACACTTTAAGTAGGAACCATTCTGCCTATCTGATCCTCAAGATTTTTCTTTTTAAAGTTAATACAAATATTAAACTGTTCACCTACCCTGCTTGTAGCAACATCAGGAGTGCCGCTCACCTTCATTTAGCAAGCATATATTGAGCACGTATAGTTGCCTAGAATTATAAAGTCTCCATAAAGTGACATGTAAATAAAACATTCTTTTCTCACTTGCTTTCTCTTTGCTAAAACATTGGCAGCAATTTTCTTTCTTTACATTTAACTCATATACTGGGAGCTCAGAGAAAAGGTGCTCAAAATGGTTTTATTTGCAACCTGAAGGCTACACCTATGAAATACATGCAATTTGTTACCCTGCTGTTCTGTAGGCAAAAGGAAACTTTAGCCTCCCTACAAGATATGTTGAAATACTATGGTGATTAATCCTGTAAAAGAGAGTTCTTTTCTTTGATTTAGAATTGCTGACAAAGAAAATCAAAAGTTTGACCTAGGAACCAACGTCATATTAACTTTCCTGAGTTAGGAAGTATGTCTATAGCTTCTATCTTGGCCGGAGTGGGGTTATGTGGGGGAAACACAGACTTCTGTTTTATGACAGGCTGCCACATATATATCAAGTGTGGTTTTGCTGCCTAACCATTGTCAGATGCACACTAGAGACAAATGAAAAGTAAACTTTGAAAGCTTTGCCCACCCACAGTGGATCATCACAGCGAGAGACATATTTATTGATTCAAAAAATATTTTTAACAAAAAGAGCCCATGGAAAATGCATATATGAAATTCTTCATGAAGCTAAGACAGTACTAGACTATAAGGCAGGAACATAAAGCTGATTTTAGAAGCCAGACAAATAAGAAATAAAGGAAAAAAGATGTGGTAGTTTCACATAAAGGAAGCTTTGAGGGGATGGTTGTTTCTCATAATACGAGAAACTAAGGAGGGTCTTAGGAGATGAGTGTGGAATGTGTTTGCCTTCCAGCTGCTCCAAGTCCAATAGAGGGAGCAAGGGAAGGAGCTTATTGAGAATATGAGGTCATGTCAACAGTCTTGAGTAGGGTGTGGGGTATTTTAGGAAGGAGAACCAAAGGCTTCCTGGAAGAGGTGGGACGGGAGTTCATGTTTGAGCAAGGAAGGATGTATGTAGTCTGGTGGCAGAGGAAGAAAGAAGGCTGATGTCTTCATCAGGGCTGACTTAGAGAAAAACACAAATTGCTGCACCTTTGAATCAAAAACATTCTTTTCTGTCTTTAGTTGAGTGATTGTAAAAGTAGAAAATTTTTTCTCCAGTTACTTTACTATTGGATAACAATGTCCGATTGAATTCTCAGGAAAGAAGAAATCATATTCCCCAGCCACCAATCAACAACATTTTAATACTTTAATTTTACTCCTTTTATAGCATGTCTCAGTGGAATCAAGTCCAACAGTTAGAAATCAAGTTTTTGGAGCAAGTAGATCAATTCTACGATGACAACTTTCCCATGGAAATTCGACATCTGCTGGCCCAGTGGATTGAAAATCAAGACTGGTAGGACCAAACGTATTTTCTCTAGAAGTCGATGCACAAATGCTTTGTGCTCTATACGTGTGGATTTGTTTTATGGTCCACTTTGACTCAGTAGATGCATTCTTTTCAGGTAAAGAACTTCTTCCAGGACTTGGCCTGCCTTCTGAAAGGAGGGGAATTATTGTCCTTTCTGGTTTTATCCATTGTAGATAAAAACCTAATGATTCTAGTGCTTTGTTTTTCCAAAATGCCGACATTTTTTTTATGTTTCATAAAACCAACAAGCAAATCTATCAATGACATCAATTCTCTATCACAGACTCAATGTAAATAAGTATTTCTTCTTAATAAGATTCATAGTCTTCAAAGCTTTACTCTTGGTATAATTTATTGCTCCAAGCCATCTTTCTTATTGTGGCAAAATATACATAACATAAAATTTACCATTTTGACTAGTTTTTAGGAATCTTGTTCAATGGTATTCATTATATTCACACTGTTTTGCAGCCATACTATCCATCTGTAGAACTTTTTCACCTTCCCAAACTGAAGCTCTGTACTCTAAGGGTAATACCTCATTCCTCCCATCCCAGCTCCTGGTAACCACTATTTTATTTTCTATCTTTATGAATTTGACATCTCTAGGTGCTTTATAAAAGTGAAATCACTCAATAGTCATCCTTTTGTGACTGACTTATGTCACTTAGTGTAATGTTTTTAAGATTCATTCATCTTTGTAGCATGTATCAGAATTTTTCCTTTTTGAAGCCGAATAATATTTTATTGTATGTATATACTGAATGTTGTTTTGAGTCCATCTGCCAATGGACATTTGAGTTGCCTCCACTTTTTGGCTATTGCTAATAAAGCTGCTCTGAATGTGGATGTGCATGGATCTAAGTCCTTGCTTCTGATTCTTTGAGGTATATACCCAGATGTAGAATTGCTAGATCATATGATAATTTTATGTTTAATATTTTGAGTAACTGCCATAGAGTTTTCCATTTTACTTTCCCACCAATAGTGCACAAGAGTTCCAATTTCTATCTTCACCCACACTTATTTTCTGGTTTTTAAATAATAGCTATCCTAATGGATGTGATGTGGTAACTTATTGTGATTTTGACTTCAATTCCCTAATGCTTTTTTATGAGCAGTTTTTTCATATTTACAATTTAATGTTTTAAAACTTTTAAATGCTTGTCACTGCAGAATAACTTTATCACTTCAAAGTTAGTATGGTAAAAAGCAAATATTTCACTAAGTTGTCTCCTCTTGTATAATAACTCTTTTATTTTTCAGGGAGGCGGCTTCTAACAATGAAACCATGGCAACAATTCTTCTTCAAAACTTGTTAATACAACTGGATGAACA